AATTTAATTATATGACAATGTTTCATCATATTCTTTATCTTACAATTCCTCATCTTAAAACTCAGAACCAATAATCGATGTTGAGTACTTAAATTTTTACTTGGAATAACCTTACAATCTTTACATTCTCGATGATCTCTTTTCTCATAACTCTTTTCTCATAAAAAAATTAATCAATTTGTGTTTTATTAGGTTTTAAGGGAAATAAATTGAGAATATTATGATTAGGTTTTACTCTTTAATATTATTAGGTTTAATGAGAGGAAATCAAGCATTCATCGAAGGAATCTCCTTCATTATATTCTTTGGTGATATATGTCTCTCCATCAATTGAATAATTTGTTGTAATGTTGATATTCTATATTACATAATCTAGCAGATGAATATGGATTGTTCATAATTTCTTAATTGAATTTAGCCTTACATATCATAAAGGTTTTATAGAAATTTTGAAGAGGCCTTTAAATCTTATCGACAATTATCTAAGGTGTTTTGATTATATTTTTTATATGTATATGAGAACGCAATGGATGTAAGGCTACTTTGCAATTATGAAGAAGGATTTTGGTTCAAAAGGAGGTTGTGTAGTGAATTTCTAAGCATGGGCATGCTTAATTGTGGATAAAGTTATCTGTCGCTCTTAACATAGTTTATTTTATTGATATTTGTACGTACTTGATTATATATTGATTAATGAACTAATAAATTTATGCTCTTGAAATAATTAAATCATCTTTAATTACCATGCTTAAGATGTCTACACTTACACTTTATCTAACAAGTTCTTATATCAACATATATATCCATAACTTTTGTATTTCGCCTTATTTTTTAGTGCTTTAATAAAAGATGTTGACATTTGTAATTAAAGTTAACTTTTTGTTTTTATTTTTTTCTTCGCCTTACCTATAACTTTCTATTGTCTTCTTTTTATTTATAAGTATAAGATGGAATGTGAAATAAATTAAGAAGATTATGATAACTTTTTACTCTTCATAGTTAATAAGATTTAATAAGAGGAAACCAACTTTTCATCGAAGGAAGCTCCTTCATTCTAGTCTTTATTGACATCTCTCCCTTCATAAATTGTACAATTTATTATAATATTTATATTATGTATTATATAATCTAACATGTGTATGGTTCATAATTTTTTAATTGGATCTTTGCTTGCATACCACAAAAGTTTTATTGAGACTTGGAAAGTGTTAGATATGGCTCATATCTAGGGAGTTGGAGTTTCTTTTGGAGTTTCCTGTTTTTATTCCGCTAATTTCACAACAATTGGTATCAGAGACAGGTTCAACAATCCGTGGGAAACAGAGGCTGTCCACCGCGAACAGGAGTTTTGTTTTGCAGAAAATCTGAGGAATTCGACCAGTTAAATTTGTCGGTTCGTCGCAGGAGATTTTACGACAGGTGGAGTTCGGCAGGGTGCAGGAGGCGAGCAGACGCGATTATTTCGTGAACAGGAGTTTCGTGGAGGTATTCCTCGAACAGGTGCGAAGGGATTCGTGGCTCG